TATATATATGTATTGTCTTATTGTATCGTTATATTGGATTACAGAGTGTTTTGACTTGTCCTATGTCATGTATAATGATCCATGGATGTGAAGTGAATAAATAAATAAATAAATAAACCTTTTCGCCGAGGCGCATATCCCAAACAACGATATCTTCACAGGCACCTACTCCAACAAATCTGCCTTCTTGACCTTCCAGAGTGAGAAATACAACATTGCAACCTGAACTTGCAATAATATTGAAGTTTCCTGAAGGAATATATCGGAGATATTGTTTTGTTAGGCCCATGTTGATATCAAATTCATAAAATCTGGAACAAAATCAAAACAGATTCTTCGATGAGGCGTAGTTCCTCAGATCTGCGTGAATAACCTAAAAAATAGAACCACACACATTTCACACACACACAATAATATCCATCACCATTTTGCCCACTGGTACTTTAGACTTACCAGTTATATTAATCTTTAAATGTAAAGTCAGAATGTATTTTCTTTTTTAGAATGTTAATCAAGATTTCAAGAGCTTCAAGACTGACCATGTGAATTACTTGAAACTATAAGTGCCATCTTTAAAGATTTAAAGATTGGCAACATTTGAATCCACGTTGGCTGAACTGAAGGTCGTCTTTTTTCGCTATCTGTTGGGAATAGACTTCAACTTATATATATATATATAAACGTTTACTTTCGTGCAATATGCAACAAGGAAGTAAACGTTTAAGGTAAAGTTTATGCTATGTTTAAGTAATTAAGCACTACACCTTTAAGACCTTGAAGACGTACGGGGTAATGGATGTATAGGTCCACATTTTCTTGACTGCGGCACTAGGTGGGGGTAATGTAGTTAACATTCGTAATTTATTCATGCAAGTAATTCGAATGTTTGGCGGGGCTTTTGATGTGTGTTAATGATAGTTCAAGTTTTTTGTTTAAACCCAGACAGTGAGATGAGATAAAAAATATCGAGAAGGGTCCAAAAGCTTATGTATAAACATTAGATCCTAGTCTAAAGTAACTTTAATTTGCTCTTCAAATTTCTTTCTGATATTACTGGCATGTTTGGTACAGTAAGGGCAGCAGCCAGCATATTATTTGAGTAGTGTGCCATTAGTCATTCATATTGTTTGGCAAAACGTTTGAATTTATCGGCGTAATCGCGTGATATGACAATACACGAACTGCTTTTTATTGGTTATTGGCTGTGGAGCACAGAAAAATCACTTGCCCCTACCAGGAATTGAACCCTTACCATTCAGCCCATAGCCCATTGTTATACTGAATTAAATCTAAATGTTCATCATTATATTCACAAACGCCCACAATTAAACAGTATCCTGAGCTAGATAATCCAGTTAATACCTTCACACAATGTTTTTCTGATATCGGTTTTAATATTACGCCACCCATGCCATCAAAATCAATCCACTGGGCCAAACGTTACTATGGAGAATGGACACACACACACACACAGAAACTTATTTGCGAGAATTTCTGTAACATTGTTCATTCATTAAAATAAAATCAGACCACTGATGCTGCAGTCTACCAACATAAAATAAATTATCAGCCTAACATTGCGGAAACTACTGAGTGGGTTATGTAGCAGTAATGCTCTAGACTGGTACTCAAGAGATGCTCAGTTTGAATCTTAACTGGGGTGCTGGATAGCTGAATTTTTCATTTTCCTCAGTCTTTCCAGGCAGATTTGAGGACAGTACCTCAACCAAGCCACAAGTGCTTCCTTTCAAATTCATCACTCATTCAATCATTCATTGTTACCTAATATCAATACGAGCAACACTGTAAAATAAATCATAAAGAAATATATATATATATATATATATAGGATGTCCCAGGAGGAATGTGCCAAGCTTCAGGAGGGTGTTCCTTATGTTAAAATATGCCGATATAACCCAAAACACCTATGTCCAAAGTTGAACGGTTACGGAGATAATGGCCAGAGAAGTGTGAAACTTTGACCGGTGTTATACACTTGTTGATTACAAAATACATATTAAAACAGGCAGCAATATGTGGTTTCTGTAATGTTAATAATGTGCGTAACAACAAACTAACTTGTGAGTGACATGAAGCCATTAAATTGAACTACAGAAAACTCGCACGCCATGTCAAAGTTGTCGTTGAGAGTTCCAAGCACTATACATGACACAAGAATGGCAAGCGCTGACGTAACATTGCTGACTGCGCATTCTGGTATGCGAGTGTATGGGGCTAACGTGAGCTGCCATCACCACTCAAGGACAAACGTAGATAAGACATGCCAGCTGACAGGTACAGTGCGTGGACTTGCCAGAAGACCACACTTTTCTTGGGCCATTATCTCTGTAACCGTTCAACTTTGGACATAGGTGTTTTGGGTTATATCGGCATACTATAACATAAGGAACACCCTCCCGAAGTTTGGCACATTCCTCCTGGGGCACCCTGTATATAAATTATAATAACTTCTTAAATCTGAACAGATGTACCCATTCTGTCAGCATATTAGTCAGAAGAAGGATATTCCACACCTTAACTATGCATTGCAGACTGAGCTGTATGAATGTTATACTTGTTACAGAAGGTAGCATGTGATACTATATGTAAGATGTTGAATGATGTACCTGTCTCCATGTGCCAACCAGAGTGATCTGTGAGGGTAATTTCAGTCAACAATGGAATATGTGACCACAATCTTAAAGCCATTTTTAATGCCAAAAATTTACTGCTACTGCTGTTTTCACAAGATTGCAAATAATGCACTTGTTATATCATTATCAGTGATAAAATAACATACACCTACTGAAGGACATTAACATTAAACATACTTTATTATGTGAAGAATTAAATCACAGACTATACAATTGACAAATTTTACAGAATCAGTATTATTTGAACATTTCCGTTAACATTTCCCTACATGTAATTGACACAGTGACATCAAACTGGATACAATTTCCCATATAATATTGTCATAATATTTCAGTACAGTCCTGACATTATCAGTAACAACTGGAGACATTAATAATAATACTAATAATTATGCACATATATTATTTGGACTTTCACGACTTTGCATAATATTGTCCAGTGACAACTTGAATATGAGAAAATAATTATATCATTGTTGGCTGAGCAGTACAGAGTGAAAAATACATATTAAGGGTGCTGATATTTGGAAACAGTGAAGTCTCCTTTATCAACAGGAGTAAACAATGGAATAGTTAGGGATAAGTATTGTCTTGTGGATTTTGACACTTTTGTTGTCCAGTAAAAGTTCACCAGTAATTCAGAGGACTGTATTGCCTTCATCTTCAGGGTTGAAGATTAAGCCAAACAAGAAGTATTTCAGCAGAACTCTGCCTAAATGCATAGGGTGAAGTGAACATTATGACTCATAAATTAAGTTGCATCTTTATCCTTCATATGCTACAGTTCCAAACACACATCTGCCATCTGTATAAATATGTGAAAATTACTATGGCATGAGAATGACATAAACACAGTCAGATAAAAAATATACAGCCATAAATCACCATCAATTATACATATATGTCAACAGAGATATATTTCCTGACATTCCCACAATAAAATATTCAAACTAGGGGCCAAGATTTATTATATGTGTAAGAAAACACTTTCATAAAATAACTCTTATAGATAATTGACAGCTGACCGTACAGAGATCCTCTTTTCTGGTTCACAATAAGAATCACTAAATGAATGCAGTAGGCATGATAAATATTGATTGTAGGCAGACATTATATTAATTAAAATATATAGGCCATTAGTAATTGCATCTTCACCCGCTTTCATGGCAGAAGTATATACCCGTGATATTTGTTTTAATAAATTACAAAATGTATTTTGCTCATTATGCATTTTAACCTTTCTGTTCTATGCTATTCATTAGTATAAGACATTCATTTACAGAATTCCTGGAACTGCAAAAGGGATGTGTTCTTGAAAGTGTGTACTGTGTTCGACAATGCAAACAACTGTTTTCTCTGCTGACTCATGTAAGTGGAGATGTGTCTGTATAAAATTCTTTGCCATCCAAAGCTGTAATAAAAGTACGCCCTTTTTCATTTATCAAAGTGCTAGTAAATACACAAATAACAGACTTAACAAATGTAACAATTTAAATTTTACTCACCAGAAATTTTGAGTGGTGGAAAGCTTTCACCATCACCAATGCATATGCAATTTGAATTTCTTAACAATAATCACACATATACATGCATACAAAAAGTTTGGGCAAATTTATATACATACCATTCATTTCATGTTCATGTTTTATCATTTACATAAAGGCAAAATTGAATAACCCAAATGTCCACAATGGGTGGCACACATTATTTCATATATTTCCATTATATTACAGTTGTATGAATTAAACCTATAGGAAGGAAATCAACGTTTGGTGTCAAAAGATGGCAAAATCACGTGTGCTGGCAGGAGGGGAGAATTGGGTTTAGCAGGCTTAGAAGATGTTTATATTTTTTACAGTTGACAGTTCTCTAAAAATCTTGGTCTATTAGTAGACTTGTAGCCCACAAACCATTTGATATCAAAGGGACAGAATTAGTGAAAGTAGGTATCTTTGTTTCTACTAGTTAATTTTCATTGTTTTGCATTTGTATACAAAGCAGAAATTGACGATTATTATCTTTGCAATGAGCTTAGAATATCCTGAATCTTGCTGAACTTTTTACATGGGGAAAAATTCTAGGCAACAAGTAGTGACTGTTTTTCATTCTACACAGTGTGAGACAAATGCAACTGGTACTAACATTTTTTCTGCTCTACATGTGGCATGAATGTTTTATAATAATGACGCAGTGATGTCTGACAAATGTTTGCAAGGCCATTAGTTATCAGATGTGACCAAAACTATTATATGGTACAGTCACATATAAAAGAAAAAGGTGAAGGTGCACAAAGAACCTTCACACCTTTAATGGCAAAGGTCTGTCAGAATGTGCTGTGTTCAAGGGACTATGAAGTTCATACTCTGGTTTTATATGTACTCTACTTCTAACAGTTCATACTATTTCCTTCATTCTTCTATCCTTCCACATGTAGAGTTTTTCTAAGATGTCAGTCTGATCGTATATATCAGAATTCATATTTTAATTACAAGTAATCTTATTGCAGTATATTTGTTCAATTAGGCACATTAATAAACTATTTTTGCATTGAATATCAGTTTATTAGATATCATATTTCCTAGCGTATAAGACACATTTCTCCCCTTAAAAATCACCCTAAAACCATAGTTAACAACAATGTTGAGGTTTCTGTAAACAGAAAACTACACCACAGCTAGGATTATTTCTGGAAAATCAGCACCCAATTAAAAAAAAATATTATATCGTCTCCAAGACGTACCACACTCTACACCTAAATATTTCTTCCCTTCCTACATCATCATGCAACTTACACACAGGGAAATATGTTATTTATTTCTTAAATAGGTAGAAATTAGTGTATTCAATATATCAGACATATTTTCACGTGATCATTTTATGGTTTTAATAATCATCAAAATATATTACAGAGTATTGATATAAATAAAAAATATATGCTTCAATGA